GGCTGAGTGGGGAGACGTGAGCTTCCTTGCATAAGACGCAGCCCCCCGGGCTTGGCACCCACAAGACAGCAAGCCACGTACGTCAGCCGCAGGCAGCCTTAGGTGGAACCTCCTGAAGTTGCTACTATTCAACCATTTTTGAGCTAGAAAGTGGTGGTTTCTCGTGGTTCAAGCTGACATTGTCATCTCTCTGATTTCCTGGGTGCTGCAGTGTGAAACTGGGTCGTGCCGAGGTGCCTGTCCAGCCTCCCCAAGGGGTCAGGTCCCAGCTCATCGTTACACTGGGGATCCAGGTGCCTGCATGGCCACCTCCTTGCCAGGTGGGGAGAAGGACCTCAGGGAGACAGGTTCTTGCCCAAAAATACACAACCTGTTAGGAGTGGACCTAGGACCAGAACCTAATTTTTCACTCCTAATTCAGTTCTCTTTCCACTGCTTCAGTCTGAAGCTGCTGCCACGTGTGGAGCTAGAGCTGGGTCCAGGTGGGCCCGCTACCTACACGAGGTGCTAAAGCAGAACTGGAAATACAATGAGGGACAAGAGGGTGGAATTTTCCAGAACTGCCCTCAGAGGCAGCATTGCACGGGCTTAGAAGTGGGTAGTCCCAGCTCTGACACGTGAGGGCTGGGGGAGCTCAGTTTCCTCGTCTGTACAACAGAATAATCAGTGTCGACTTCACGGGGGTGTCGTGGGGAGTAAATGGATACGTATTTGTGAATCGTATTGTAAATAATCTAATTCGTAAATACAATTTCCGAAATTGAAAATATATATATTGTAGAGCACTTAAAGAGTATTCAGCACTTGGTAAAGGCGACTTAAGAGTTTGCTATTATTATTACGAAGACATATAGGGGTTGGTATTGCCGGTGGGTGTGTGATTTGGGGCCAGGGCTGAGTCATTGCGACCAGAAAAGAGCCCTCTAGAATGGACTCCGAGGTCTCCTTTTCCTCCACTCCCTCCCCTCCTGTGCCAGCTGTAGCTCTAAATATAGAAGGGACAAATATTTAGACTAGCAGCCCGTAGGGACTGGGGTTAGTGTGTTTTATTCACGGAGCATCCCACGTTCCTAGAACAATGAAGAGCACAAGGTAGGAACACAATAAGTCTTTACAATATGAATAAACAAATTTGTCCCCACCATAAAGGTGATCAGAGTCTAAAGGAGGAATCTGCAAACGGTCACAGGTGCTCTGGAGATCAGTTTAGAATACCTTCACTTCAGGCATTCTCAAATCCTCCGTAATTTGTCTTCCAAATCATAGGACCTCTGCTCTTTCCACCTCTGAGAGCCAGGCTTCTCTCTCAGTTGTCACTGTTTCTACTTCTCCAGGCTTTTATTTTATCTCACTTGGAAAATTGCAATAGACTCACCTTCTGCCCCTTGTCACCTGAAGCCCCAAAAGGGACTTTCTAAAAAATAAATTAGGTTAGATCATTTCCTTGCCTAAACACATCTGAAATCTTCCCATGGCCTCCAGGCTAAAATCCAACTCCTGGCGGCCAATAAGCACCTGCAAAGATGCTCAGCATCACTAGTCAGCAGGGAAATGCCAATCCAAACAGCAGTGAGACAACTACTTCACACCCACCAGGATGGCTATTATCAAAAAGACACAATAACCAGAGTTGAGGAGGATGCAGAGAGAGATGCAGCATAGGTGCAAACAGTCTGACGGCTCCTCAAAAAGTTAAACATAGGGCAGATTTGCGGGGAGATCGAGCCCCCGCACACACGAGAGAAGAGTGTCCTTTGGCAGAGAGCGTGGAAAGAATTCAACACACGCGCCAAAGTCAGAGTCAAAAGGAAAGTTTATTAGTTGATCTACAGAGTGTGGTCTCCTCTCAGAGGCAGAGAGTGAGAGGGACCCCAAGTGTTCAGGGAATTCAGTTTATACGTCCTTCTTTAGTTCCCATTTCCTTTGATATGGACCTACAAGGGGAAGGGGAAAGGCCGGCTCGGGTTCCCAGCCTCTAACCCATAGGCTCCCCATGGTGTTGGCCATAGGGAATGAACAATTCCGTTGGTGGAGGGCGGCCACCTAAAGACTCTGTTTTTCCTCTTTCCCCTTCACGGTGTGGGGAAATGGGTTCTTTGCCATCCCAGCAGAAACCTTCCTTTGTTCTGCAGGTGTCCTCCTGGCCTGGCTGCAGGCTGGTCAGCACATTGCCATCTGTGAATACAGCTTAATTTAACATTTTAACTCTCTTGCTTCCTCCCTGCATTTATATGACCCCGCAATTCCACTCCTAGGGAGAACTTAAACCCTCGATCAATTTTCTAGAGAACACTGTTAAGCTGAAATGTTCTCCCCTCTTTTCCTTTCAATTTTGAATCGTATTTGATTCTTTTTCATCTACGTTTCGTTACAAAGCTTCAACCTAACCACCGTTAAGGCTACCACTTCTGCCTTCTTGGACTACCTTTTGCAGGTCAAGACGTTATCACAGAGACATAGTTCTTCCTCCCGCGTTTAGGCAGCCACGCATTTTTACCTCGCGTGCCATTTGCCTAGTTTTATTTTGTTATATCGTCCTAACAGTAATGTTCATTACGGATTAACTAAAATACTGAAAGATTGCATTTATTCCTCAAACACGTTAAATTAAGTTTTCAATAGATCACAGTGTACGTGGCCGGAGGAAAACACAAGCACTAGGAGAGGGAACGCGGAGGAGAGGCTGTGTGCCTCCTGGCGAAGCCTCAGCTGACCCCCCGGAATGCTGGGCCTGCGCTGGCCCTTCCCCCGGAATTAGGACAAGGGGGCCGAGTCTTTTTGCTCTGGGCGGGCCAGCCATGCATGCAGCCCTTCCTGTGGTATGACCAGGAGGAGGCTCTCTTCACCTAATGGAATCCTGTCTGTCCTGCTCAGGCTGACGGCTGAGAGCCATCTGCTCAGAGGCCACCACGTCCTGCAGCTGGGGGTAAGTCTCCCTGAAGGGGACCGGGCTGTCCCAGTGATGTGGAACATCACTTGTAAAATTCTTAATCTTTTTAGCAGGAAATGAACCCCGCCATTTCCTGCCTTTTTAGTAAACCTACCTAAGGCTTTTCTTTCCTCCTTTCCTTGGGAAAAAGGCTCTCTCTCTCAAATGCTGATAATTGCCCTGAAACTGGTGACTCAGGTAC